GATGAGGGTGCCAGTGGTTGCCTATTTCTTAACAGCTAAAATTTTAGCCTAGCGCTCTTTCTCACAGGGTCTTTCTTCCTTTTCTTCCCAACCTCCTTCTAGGCAGGCTCTGGCAGGTTTGACTTCTTATCAGTTTTGCATGCCTCATAGACAACTTCCATCGGGACAATTGTCTGCATCTTAGTTGGCTTGGTTGAGACTTTATTTGGAGGGTACTTAGGCTAAGGTTTGATTGGTGACTTGGCCTTGGAAAGAGAAACCTTCTTCTGAACATATTTTGCTGGGTGAGGAGTGCTGACCTTTATAGGTTTCTTGATCTTCTCAGGAGTGACCATTGGGATCACATTAGCAGTTGACTCCTCTTCATACTCGCCAAATAACTCTAATTTATGTAAGTTGTCATATGAGTCTTCCTCTTCTTCTTCCATCTTCTCCTTCCATCTTCTCATATTCTACTACTTCCTCTTCAACTTCAATATTGTTTTGGTCTTCCTCCTTTTTTCCATCCAAGTTAACTTCAGCCTCTTCCTCAATTTTGTCTTTTTCATATTGGTCCTCTTCATCATCGCAATCCTCAGTCTCACCGCTGTTCTCCTGTATTTCTTCTTCATTGTCAACCTGTATTTTATCAACATTTTTCACTTCCTTCTCCTCTTCAGCAACTTTTTCAACAATCTCTTCAAAAACTTTTTCAACAACCTTGTCAACAACTTTCTTCTTGTTCCCTTTCAGGTGCTTCAGCCAACAAGTACTTCTTGTCCTTAGAAGCTTGATTCAACAACTCATTCAAGGTTTTTTCATCTTCCTCCTCAGAACTTTAATCATTAACTATTTGAATTTCCTCTTCAATCTTCTTGGCAATGTCTTTTGTAGGCACGCTTCTCATATTCACTTGTTTCAACTTCTTATCCTTCTTGGCTCTCTTCCTTGGTTTTTCTAAGGTTTCATCCTTAGGAATGCTAGATCTTGATGCTCTAGGTGCACCAACATGCACAATGTTCTTTTTCTTATTACCCCTTTTCTTCGGATTGTTGTTGTCTTCATCCCCTTTGGTTCATCTCTTTCTCCCAATTCTCCTATAACGTGCTTTGGGAAAACTGGCACTGATTCATAATTATAGTTCCATGAGTTCACCTTCAACTCCCATTCAAACCTCTCTTTTATAAACTTATAAAAACCACGCTGGTCCTTTTTCATTTGTAATAAAACACCACAACATTATGTCAGTTTCAAAACTCGTGTCTGCTCCAGTCGACTCCTGTCATGCCTCTGCTTGTTTTCTATGCCCCTTTGGTTTCATTAACGTTTGAATAATAGCCTTGTAAAAAGGTGATTGAGGGTTGCAGATTTCATCAGTTCCTCTTGTCTGCATACCAAGCTTCTTACACAGGGCAGTAATCAGACAGGGAAAGTAAAACATTCGTTCCTTCTTCTTGGAAAAAGCCTAAATTTCTTGCACGATGATCTTCCCAACATTTATACCTTCTTCTGCTGTGATGCAGTGAAGTAGCACAAGCATTGCCTTATTGAAAATATCATTGTGAGCAGTTGGTCTCAAAGGGTGTTTAATGAATTGGTACCACACATTTGCCTTAGGGTGCAAATCCATCCTTTTTACAATCTTCTCACTACCAGATTCCACCCATTTGGTTCCAATGTTGCACAAAGGTTCCATGTAGACATCAAAATTAACATCATCTGAAGCAGCCAAAAGCTCTTTGTATCTATCTTCAAGGTTTCCTACCTTGAAAACATATTAATTGTCCCTTCTGAATAGGACACTTTGACTTCTCTGACCACCACCTCACCCCTTTTGTTGTTGGTATCCACCAAGTTAGCATAAAATTCCTTCACCACTTGGGTATTGTAGGGTTGAGATTGTTGACATAATTTTATCCATAACTTTGTTGAGATCAGTGTGCATATGTCTCCAAGGAGACCTAGGTTTTCCTCCTGTTTATCCTGAATGAATCCTTTTTCAGACATCATACTCATATCAGAAAAGTGATATGTGAATCTCTGGATGACATCAATGCTGATGAAGGTCTCATTGTCAGAACCATCATCGTCATAATAGTCGAACTTGGGTGTGGTATTCTTTCTGGATACAGTCTTGTAGTGCCTTGACTGTATGTGGGCTTCATGATCAAATTTAGGGTTTGAATTAATGTGATTTGGGGATGATGGGGTTTTCAGAAAATGAGAGATGAAAAGTTGGAAGAAGTTCTTTTTGGAAGCAGTTTAGAAAGAGAGTACGGGAGGAAGTTTGTAATTTCTTGGAAGTTGAGAGTGTGACGTGATGGAAGTTGGTGAGTGTTGTGTTTAAAAGGATTAGAGAGAGAGAGAGGGAAATAAAGGTAAAGCGTGAAAAAAATTTGAAATTTCTAGGAGAGAGAGAATGGTAACCGGTTTAGGGTAATGGGAGGTTACTTGTGATAATTCCCAAAATCAGAAGCGTGAGACAACTCATTAATGAGACTGTCCAAATCATGACGTCGCGCACATGGCTCAAAGGTCTGCCTACACGCGCGTGGCTTGATTTTTCTCTCTCCTACATTTACTTTTCTTATTCACACGTTTCTAAAAACGACCTCTTTTATGATTTTCTCTAAATTCAAAGGGACAATAATTGCTTCCTTTTTCATGATTATCCCTCAGCTTGCAGTCATGACAACACTTATCAATGACCTTTCTCATTTTTTCTCATCAATCAAATCATCTGAAAAACTAAACAAACTAAAAAGAAAATTTAAGATGGGATGCCTCCCAGTAGTGCTACTTTATAGTCTTATAGTCTGACTGTAGCAAAAATCAAGAGGATTCATGTAAATCCAAAGTGACCCTTATGTTGTGCAAGGATTCACAAAGGTAGACCTTCACTCGTTGTTCATTCACCTTAAATTCTTCACATGTTATTTCATTCAATAAGTCAACTGCCCCCATGAGGATAAACTTTAATCAATTTAAAAGGGCCATACCACCTAGACTTAAGTTTTCTAGGGAAAAACTTGAGCCTAGAATTAAACAAAAGAACATGTTGGCCTTATATCAATTCTCTCTTATGGAATTTACTGTCATGCCAGCTCTTTGTATTTTCCTTATACAATTCATCATTGTCATATGAGAACAACCTATCCTCATGTAGCTCATTAATTTGAAGCATTCTAGCTTGCCCAACCTTAGCTAAATTAAAATTTAAAGCCTTGACAACCCAAAATGCTTTGTGCTCTAACTCAATTGGCAAGTGGCACGCCTTGCCATAAACAAGTCTATATGGAGACATGCCAAGAGGGTTTTGTAAGCTGTCATATATGCCGAGCATCACCAAATGCTTAGATCAGTCCTTCCTTGAGGGGTTCACAACCTTTTCCAAAATCCTTTTTATCTCTCTATTGGAAATTCTAGTCTGTCCACTACATTGTGGATCGTAAGATGCAGCAACCTTGTGTTTCACTCCATATTTTACCATTAAATTTTTAAAAACTTTTTTTTGCAAAAATGGGTTCCCTCATCACTAATGATTGCTCTAGGGGTGTCATGTCTAAAAAAAATATATTTTTAACCCAAAATTTGGTCACCACTCTAGCATCATTAGTTGGAGTTGCTACTACCTTTATCCACTTAGAGACATAATCCACAATGACTAATATGTACAAATTACCAAAAGATTGAGGGAATGGCCGCATGAATTCAATGCCCCATAGTGAGAGGCATTTCTTTCCTCATAGATATATTCCCCACTCTTTGACATTTACCACACTCTCTAACCAGTTCATGAGCATCTTTAAAAAGAGAGGGTCAGAAATAACCTGATTGAAGAACTTTAGCAGCAATTCTGGTTCCTACAAAATGTCCATAGGAAGCCTCATGACAGGCAAACAAGATCTGTCGTGTCTCTGGTTGATCCACACATCTTCTAAGCAGTTGGTCAACATATTTTTTTGTAAAGGAAAGGTTCATCCCAAAAATAACGTTTGGTCATATGGAAGAACCTCTTCCTCTGTTGAGAATTAAAATCAGGTGAAATGTATCTACTGACCAGATAGTTGACAATATCAGCATACCAGGATGTCACGTAAGAGGTAATCAACAATAATTTCTCATCAATAAACTTCTCCTAAATGTCTCCATTGTTCTTGTCTTGTACTTCCTCTGGCAGACTTGACAGATGGTCACCAACCAAATTCTCAACTCCTTTCTTGTCTCTGATCTCTAAATCAAATTATTGTAATAACAACACCCATCTTATAAGCCTCGACTTAACATATTTCTTGGAAATAAGGTACTTAATGGTCGCATGATCAGTGTACACAATGACTTTGGTTCCTACTAGGTGGGATCTGAATTTGTCAAAAGCAAAGACAACAACGATTCTTTCTCAGTTGTGATATAATTGAATTGTGCTTAAATCAAGGTTCTACTAGGATGATAAATGTCGTGGAACACCTTATTATGTCTCTGGCTAAGTACAACCCCAAATATCAAAGTCACTGGCATCACACATTAACTCAAAGGACTTTGTCCAGTCATGAGTCTTCATAATTGGTGCAGAGATCAAGGCTTCCTTCAACAGATTGAAAACATCCATACATTTATGACTGAATACATAAGACACGTCATGCTCCAGCAGTTGACAAATGCATAAGCTTCACAAACGAAGTCAACATGCAAAACTAGAAAGAGTTCACATTATAGTAATCAATAACCTAAATAGTAACTAGAAGGGTTAATCTCCAACTGTTTGGGACGAATAGTCGATTCAATTAGGTTAAACACACTCTTACCCTTGAAAGACCTACCTAAAGATTATTTAAAAATGTATATTATTAGAAAACTAATTACATTTTAGATAATACTATGATATTAAAAGGGAGGGGAGGATAGTAACTCTTAAGTTTTTTTTAATAAGAATGCACTTGTTTGGTATGAAGTGAAATTGAGCCCATAAACTGTGTATAGAGAAGTGAGTTGTGAGAGTCTTGTATTCGTCAACTGCACCAATGGTCATGGAAGCTCTGCTCAAAATTGCAGTGCTCTTTTTCTTCCTTCATCTCTCCATTCTTGTTAACTCATCTCCTTCCCAACACCTTCAGATCATCAATGCCGAACGCAGGGTAACCTTTCTTCACCTATTACAATTGAGAATTCCACGCAAATTTCCATTTCTTTGTTTCGTAATAAAGAAACTTTTTTTAGCTCTAGATCTGTACGCACTGTCTAAAAGATTCGAACTTGGGAAATGGGTATATTAATTCGACTGTAGATTCGTGCAGAAATTGGGGATTTTCTATCTAATTGATCTATTAGGTGCTTTTTTTCTTCTTCAATGAAATATACCCTCAATGATAGTGGACTATGATTGTTGGCGAATTGTATATCTTAAAGGGTTTTTTTGGGAATCATTCAAATCCTTTGTTTATATATTGTATGACTAATATGCTAATGATTCTTGCAGATTGATCTGAATTCTCATATTATTAAGGTGTACTTGACATTGAAGGTAGCACTTCCATACTATTACTCTTTTGATCATAACACAATTTTTTCTTATGTCTACAACAGACATCAGACATACAATACTACATTGACTTAGTGACAGTAATAAGAATTTGAGAAAATAAATCAATTTAATGTTATCCCCGTGTATTGGTGTCCGACACTCATCGGATACTGCACATGCATTGTTGATGATACAGCGTAGTGAAGTCGACGGACAGACTAATAGTTTGGTTGAAGTTTATGCAAAACACCACACTGGTGTTAGCTCATGCATAATACTACTTTGTTTTTGAGATTTTTCCCAGTTTTATCCAATTTGAATAGAGACATCTTTTGCAAACATTTTGGTCATGTTTGATTCACATAATTGGTTTTTATTGAATCAAACTGGTTTGGAATTGAATGCTCATTTCTATTCCAGTATTTGGCTTGTTAAGGAATGGGATTATGCACTCCATGGAACCAAAACAGAACTGAATCATATTATAGTTAACTACGAAGCACGGACACCTCTAGGAATAGGCGTGTCGCGGTGTCCGACACTTGTATGACACCAGTACGAAACGTGTCGGAAAATTCACACAAGTGTCATAAAAGTCAGACAAGTGTTCATTAATTATTGATTAATGAAGTTAGATATAAAAAAAAACAATTTTTCCGTTCATTCCACATGCGAGTAGTATATGCATGTTCTCTCATTCTGGGAGGAAGTGGAGATTCTTGTCTCTTTGGAATAAAGAGTTGGAGTGGAATCATCATTCTAGCGGCAAAGCCAAAAAATTAGTGTAAGGGGTATCAAACTAAACACATATAACATGAAAGAGCTGTGTGGCAATTTAATAAACTTTAATAGGGACATCAAATAAGTATATGAATAAATACTGAGAAAAGCACAAACTTTGGCACGACCATGGCATTGGCACCCATGTTCCCTTCCTCCTCAGCTCTGCCACTTACCATTCCACGCGTGCTCCATTCTATTGAAGTTTGTAACTTGATTTGGATTCTTAGACCAACACATCAGTATTTTGTTTTGGCATTTTTTTTGTTGTTTTATTTCTAATTTGTACTGAATTTAACTATTAAAGCATCTATCACAAATTTGGAGACATTGTTTTCATAGAGCTTTCCTTTCAGGTTGAAAACTCAGGCACTTCTCCTACTTCAGAAGTACATCTTGCTTTTTCACCTGCTGAAGCTGAACATCTAGCAATAGTCAAAGCTGCAGCAACTACCGGGAAGAGGAAGAAGAAGACTTATGTTCCTCTCGATGTTAAATCCGCTGAGATACCTGATGGACCAAATGGAACAAAATTTTTCGCTATAACCTTGTTAACTCCACTCAGTAAAGGTGAATCAATAACACTTGAGGTGCTTTACTTATTGACACATTCTCTGGAACCTTTCCCAGTTGAAATTAGTCAATCAGAGTCGCAGTTGGTCTATTTCCGTGATAGTGCAATATTATTGTCTCCCTATCATGTCAAGGAACAAACAACTTTCGTCAAGACACCAAGTGCTCGGGTAGAATCATTCACAGTAGTGGAGCCCGCTAAACGAGCTGGTTCAGAGATAAGATATGGGCCATATGACAGTCGTACCCCATATTCATATTCTCCTGTACTTGTTCATTTTGAAAATAACAATCCCTTTGCTGTTGTCGAGGAGCTGGTACGTGAAATTGAAATATCTCACTGGGGAAGCATACAGATCACAGAGCGTTATAAACTGGTTCATGCTGGTGCTAGACACAAAGGTGTTTTTTCAAGGTATATTTGCTATCTCTTATTCATTGTTCATGCTCGACACCTTCATTTTGTTCTTTGAGGAACAATATGTGTCTGAATTAAAGGAATAGAAGAATAATTACTTACATGGCAAAATGCTCTCTTCAACATCTTGAAGTAGTTGGAATTTAGATATTTAGCGGCATGACCCACCTTTTAGGCTCTATTTGGTCAACAGTAGCGGATTACCAATAAGCTAGCTGATAGCGGATTAGCTAGTGGGTTGAATTCGCAGTGTTTGGTATAATTAGCGGTTGAATTAGCTACTAAATATGAAATGACATAAAAAAATATTTTTAATATTTAATTTTTTTCAACTAAGATAATAATAAGTGTAAAATAGACAAAAAAATGACGAGCTTGAAGCTCAAATGCTGGTTGAAGTAGCATTTAAAAAACTCTATAAGCTAGTTAAAAATGCTATAAGCTCGTGAGAAAAAATTGTTACCAAATAGGTCTCTTTTGGTTAGATGAGTTTATAAGCTAGGCTATCCGTTATAAGCTTGAAAGTTGACACTGCCAAACCGAGCCTTAATATATTTTTTATTTGTTATTTGTATAAATGTTTTTTGATATGTATTGTAATCATCAATAGATGAATCATCAAATTGTCCATTTTCTCACAATTCTGATTGATATGATGATTCGATGATTCGGTAACATTGAAATTTATCTTTGCCCTACATGGTCCATTGCAACATTTGGTGGAAAAATAGATCAAGCGTTATTTTTAAAGTAGCTAATAAAAGAAAAGGATCTTTGTACTGTTTTAATCACATAGGCAACCAATGGTTACTATTACTCTTGTATTAGGATTGTCAAGATTCGTAAAAGGCCTAGGTTTTGACTGCTGCTTTTCAAACAGATCATCAGCTAACTTACGGCTTATAAAACATTAACATATAGTATCTTTCTTTGGGGTTTATGCATAATTTTAAAACTCTTGTGAATAATTGTAATATTTAAAGTTTCTTTTATTACATGTAACTGGGGTTTTCTGTTGACAGGGTTGAGTATCAAACTAGATCAGGTGCTAGTGGTGTTTCTTCATTTAAAAGTCTTCTTGCAAAACTACCCCCTAGGGTTCACTCAGTATACTACCGGGATGAAATAGGCAATATTTCCTCTTCACATCTACGTACAGATTTTCTAAAGGTGAGATATTTTCGCTCACCTCTCACCTGACTTAGAGTAGTCGTTCAAAATTCACCTGTATGCCTGCCTCTCTTTAATAATCACGGGCACCATATCTTTTCTTTTCTACCTTTTTTCTTTTGCAAGCAATATCATTCTTGTTAGCATGACTGCAATCTTTATTATTTGATCTATGGTTATGTATTATTGGATGCCATTGACATCATGTGTGAATCGATAAAAGAAGATGTATATGATTTCTTGTATTTCTGCACATATTGTTTCTATGTTAGTTAAATGTTTAGTGGGAAAAGATTTGACTATTAGTTTTGTGGTGGCTAGTATTTACCATGGTAGTACAAATAGGCTGTCAAGATCGAGATCTTGCATAAGATCGGGGGGAGATAGCAATATCATAAAACATAAGATCGTAGCTAAGATTGGAAGATCCTACCTAATTATTTTTGTAAGACCGAGAGGGGGTAGCAAAATCGTAAAACATAAGATCGTAACTAAAATCATAAGATCCTACTAAAGGAATTAATAATACTATATATTTAAGGTATTTTTAGATGATATATTTTAGTAGGCAAGTGTATTAGTTGGAAAATGACCTTTTTCATATTTCTTTAGACTTGTATAATTGAGTTTTTATACTTACTTTCTACCACCATAATTGTGCGCCTTTGCATTTTGTCATCCTTCTTGGCTTTTAATGGTGGTGGCTGGAAAACGGTCAATCGTGACCGGAACTTGCCAAGATCACACAAAATCAATGATTTTACGAAAAAGTTCACGATTTGGCTACAACAGACGATTTTACTTAAGATTGGGATCGTTGGAGGTGAATGAGATCGTAAAATCGTAAAATTTTAAGATCTAGATTGTGATCTTGACAACCCTATAGTGTTGACCAACAAAATGATGAATCGGTTTTACATAATCTATATTTTATTCCACCAGGCTTGATCTCATACTTTACATTTTTATTAAACACAGTCTGAACTTGAATTTGAGCCTCGATATCCTCTATTTGGAGGCTGGAAATCCACCTTTCTCATTGGTTATGGGCTACCATTGCAAGACTTCCTTTTTGAGTCTCTGGATGGCAGAAGATACCTCAATTTTACTTATGGTTGCCCTCTTGCTCAGACCGTGGTTGACAAGTTGATTATAAAGGTGAGTGTGATTTTGCATTTGTTATTGTTACTATCAAGCAAAATTTCTGCCTTTTGATTTCAACTGCATTTGCCTGCAATAATGGAGGTTAAATTTATCCTTTTTGAACCTTTTTATTAGGTTGTGCTTCCAGAGGGATCCAAAAATCCTGAAGCCGTGATTCCTTTTCAAGTAGATCAACATCTAGAGGTAATGTTTTCTTGGAACAATACCGCTTACTCAACACTGGCTTTGTTTCAACTGTACAAACTGCATATGCAGCTTCAGCAGTGTTTGATTGAAAAAAAGTGTTTAGTGAAAAGTGTTTTATCTTTGAACTATTGCAGACCAAGTATTCATACCTTGACATTGTGGGAAGGACTGTGGTGGTTCTAGAAAAAAGAAACGTTGTTCCTGAGCATAACATCCCTTTCCAGGTATTCACCAAACGCAATTCAAAGATATCTTTCTAAAACCAGTTTTGAACGTGGCTGTTTCATGCTCTAACCGTGTTTTTGTTGCGGGGGGGTAGGTATACTACAATTTTAACCCTATATTCATGCTTGCTGAGCCATTGATGCTGGCATCTGTGTTTTTCCTGCTTTTTGCGGCGTCTGTGGCGTATTTACATATGGATATTTCCATCCGCCAGTCATGAACACCTCTAGCTAGTTTGCTGAAAGGTATGTGTTAAATTCTCGCTTTAAACTATTTTAATTTTATGATTAAAACAATCCTTGTAAGCAATTCAAATATTTTTGTTTGTTCGACAGGCGGCACAGGAGTGAGCAGATCAACCATTTTGGCAATACTGTTTGAAGTTTAGCAGTTATAGTTTTGCTTGTTTGTAATATTTTCCTTTCCTGGCAATTTGATCTTATGCCATGTTTCTAGACTAGCATTGAACCATTACTTCCATTTTTGAGAAACATAGAATATGTTAATTGAGTAAGATCATCTCTTACATGTATGCAATGAAATCAATCCAAGATAAAAACAAGTCTTAAGCAATTTGGATCTATTCCTTGTTCAGTTTGATCTTCATCTCTCTCTTTTCTTGCATTGAAGGTCTTTAATAATGCTATTGATGTCATTCACAAGCTCTGAACAGTTGCTACCACAATGTTTTTTCACACTGTATGTTGTTGTTGCATCATTCCTATTCACCAACAAATTTTTGGGTTCATGTCCCATCTTACAAATATATGGAGGGTGACTTTCAATTTCATCGTTCATATGAATAACTTATAACTTGTCACTGCCTACAAATAAAATTAAAAAATAACATTCAATCACAAATTAACTATAAAATATTTTGAACAATGAATAAAACAATAATCATATTCAATCACTTTCGAATTTGCACATTTCCAATATCTCCTTTTAAGCTTAATTGAAAATGAACATACTCATTTGTTTAATGCAATCATATAATGTGATTTGGAATGACATGGAGTTCGATGATGAAGACATGATTGAATGGAGGACAGAAATGAACGAAGCTCCATAAAAATTAGGATGAAACCCCATCATCTTTGTCACTGGAGCTATTGGATAGCAAATCTATCCTTGATTTTTGCCTAAACGGTTGAAAATAGTTTATAATTTTTTCTACTCGTCACATAATTGATTTCTAAGATCCGTAATACTTAGGTTGTGATTCTGGGATCATGATTCTTTGTTGTGACATTTAAAGGTAGATTCTATTTATGTATAATTGAAGGATTAACTTGCGATCAAATATTTGGATTTTGATTGTTTTGATTTAATTTGCTATGGTTTTACATTTTCAGATGATTTGATTTATGGTTCCTTCGGTTCAAGATGTGTATGAAGATTTGATTTTCTAAAAATTTGTTTCAAACATGAGATATATGAAGATTTGTTTCTTAAGATTAGATGTCGAAACATTTAAGGAAACAATATTGTGTTGCAGCTGTCGAAACATTTAAGGGAACATCTGATTCTGTTATAGAATATACTGCTGAATATTGTATTTGATCTGCTGTTTTGTTTAGCTCATTGATTCACGAAGTCCATGCTGATCTCAGGCTATTTAAGGGAAGACTCTAAACCTAAGAAAGTTAACTAAGCCGCTGTGTGAAAATGTCAATTAGGGTTTAGTTTGTTCATTGTTCATTGTTCATTGTAAGCCACTCTTGTATCTCTTTGATGTTAGAGCTGGACTGTTAGTTGAGTTGTAATTGTGACACTCATAAGCTTTTAAGCAGTAGCAAATTTTGTTTATTGGAGTGTGTCTCCTTTTTGTTTGTTTTGTGTTTTATCATTGGTTATGTGATTGAAGGAAAATGAGAGGGGTCTCATATCTAAGAGAGTCTTAGATATAAATTACATGGGTAGTGATTAGGTGCGAAGTTTATAAAACTAGAGGTTGTTTAGAACATCAAATTAATACTGCTATAGTGGATTTCCTTCCTGGCTTGGATGCCCCCAGATGTAGGTGACGTTGTACCGAACTGGGTTAACAATTGATCTGTGTTATTTATTTTATGTTGTTTACTTCAACTTGTTTATTATTCTGTCTGTTGTTACAATGTCTTAACATTGCGCTCGACATTGCGTTTGACATCCTGGTGTCATGATATTGTATATGACGTCTGTCTTATTGTGCCAGAATTTCAATTGGCATCAGAGCAGACACCTTGTTCTATTTTTGGGCGAGCTCCAAGAAAGATATTTTATGGCACTACAGACAAGGAAGGAGTAAATACTAATAGACCACTCATTTTGGATAACACCAACTATGACTACTAGAAAGCGCATATGTTGGCTTTTCTAAAATCTATGGATAACAAAACCTGGAAAGTAGTTATCAAGGGTTGGATACATCCTGTGTTGACATACAAAGATGAGAATGACTCTACTAAATTAAAGCCAAAAGAGGATTGGTCTAAGGAAGAAGATGAACTTTCTCTTGGAAACTCCAAAGCTTTGAATGCCCTGTTCAATGAGGTTGATAAAAATATATTCAGGTTAATAAATACATATACTGTGGCCAAAGATGCATGTGAAAATCTCAGAACCACTCATGAAGACACATCAAAATTAAAAATGTCAAGACTTCAACTTCTCACCCCCAAATTTGAAAATCTCGGGATGAAGGATGATGAATGTATTCATGACTTTCACATGAATATTCTTGATATTTCCAATTCATCTAGGGTCTTGAGAGAGAAAATGATAGAGGAGAAACTTGTTAGAAAAAGCCCCAGGTCCTTGCCTAAGAAGTTTGACATGAAGATCACAACTATTGAAGAAGCCCAAGACATCTGCAACATGAAAGTGGAGGAGCTTATTGGGTCATTTCAAATTTTTAAATTGTCTATCAGTGATATATATGAAAAGAAGAACAAAAGCATAACTTTTATCTCCAATACTAATGATGAAGAGGTCCAGTGTGACCGGGAGACCGATGAAGGGATTTCTAATGCTATTGCGCTTCTTGGGAGACAATTTAATAAGGTGTTGAAGAACATGGATAGGAAGGCAAGACAGAATGTCAATAACATCTCTTTCGACATCAACAGAAATAATGACTTTCAGAGAAAAGGAAGAACAAAGGAGAAGCCAAATCAAGAAAGAGGTATTCAATGTCTTGAATGTGAAGTTTTTGGTCACATTAGATCAGAATATCCCACATACCTCAAGAAAAACAAGAGGGGTTTGTTCGTTTCTTGGTCTGATGATGATAATTCTGAAGGTGAACCTGTTGATGGAACTGCTAAGCATGTTACAACCTTCACTGACAGGTATGAATCTGATGAAGATTCATGTGATGATGATCTATCTTATGAAGAATTGGATGCTTCTTACAAAGAGCCTTGTGTCAGAAGTGAGGTGGTGTGCAAGACAGGAGAAAAACATAAGAGAATCATAGCACAACTGCATGCTGAAAAAGAGAAATTGTCATCTACTGTCTCTGATCTTCAAAATGAGGTAATCTTATTGACCTCCAAACTTGAAAATATGAGCAAATCCATAAGAATGTTAAACAATAAGTTTGATATGTTGGATGAAATTATTTAAGATGGAAAAGGGGATGGAGACTCAACATGTATTGGTTTTAATTACCAATATCTAATGGAACCCCTGTGACAAAATTTATTTCTTCTTAAAGGAAGTAGGAGGTCACAATGTCATACCAAATGTTGCAACACTCTACTGGACATCAGGAATCTCAAACCAAAGCTAAGTTGTTACCATGGAAATGTCATTATTGTGGGAAATATAGTCACATAAAACCTTTTTTTTATAGACTGTATGTTTACCCCAAACACCAAAAACAACCTAGGGCTAATCATGTGATGATTAAAACTATAAAGGAGTGGAAACCTAAGGCTAATCATGTTTATAACCCATACTTATCTTAGAGCTTCATCTAGAGAAGACTGGTACTTTGACAGTGGATGTTCCAGACACATGACATGGGTCACAAATTATTTAGTGGACATTAAATCTTATTCTACCAGTTTTATCAAGTTTGGTGGTGGTGCTAAAGGTGAAATTAAGGGAGTAGGAAAGTTAATGTGTATTGGTCTTCCTAGACTATATGATGTTCTTCTTGTAAAAGGATTGATTGTTAATCTGATTAGTATCAGTCAATTATATGATCAAGGTTTAAGAGTAAATTTCACCAAGTCAGAATAATTAGTAACCAATGAGAAGAATGGTGTTCTAATGAGCGGATTTAGGTTTAAAGACAATTGTTATTTGTGAGTACCACAAGAAACTAATAATTCCTTCACATGTTTAATATCCCAGGAAGATGAAGTCATGTTGTGGCACCAGAAACTTGGACATCTGAATCTCAAAGGTATGAAGAAGATTATGTCTATTAAAGGTCTTCCAAAGTTCAAAAACGAGGAAGGTAAAATATGTGGTGAGTGTTAAATTGGGAAGAAAACCAAGATGTCACACCAGAAGTTGCAACATCAGACTACTTCCAAAGTTATTGAACTTCTTCATATGGATCTAATGGGGACCAATGCAAGGTGAAAGTCTTGGTAGAAAGAGGTATTTCTATGTGGTTGTTGATGATTTTTCAAGATTTATTTGAGTGAACTTTAGCAAAGAAAAATCAGATACCTTTGAAGTCTTCAAAGACCTTTGTCAACGCCTTCAAAGAGAACAAAGGAGAAAGATAGATCCTAAAAGTGATGAAGAGATATTTCTGGGTTATTCTACAAATATTAGAGCTTATAGATCTTTTAACTCCAGAACCAAAGTCATGATGGAATCCATTAACATAGTGGTTGATGATTCAATCATTGAGAAAAGGAATGATGTCAAAGAAGATGTTGGAACATCATCTCAGTAGACTGATGCTCTAGAAAATTAGGCAGACATTGAGTCCAACATTGAGTCAACAGGTACTTAACTAGAAAAATCTCAAGCCAACAAAGATCCCTCTATTAGAGTTCATAAAAATCATCCAAAGGAACTTATTATTGGGAATCTTAATGAAAGGATGAATGTTATTGTCACAAAATGGATTTACAATAACAAATTTGATGAAAAAGGAATTGTAACCAAAAACAAAGTCAGGTGTTGTAACCGACAAAAAATATGAGTCGCCGCCATTAATTTTTATCCTAAGGACGGGAAAATAACGGATAACCCTAATTGTTTTAGATATTC